AGCCCCGGGATCCTCCAGCCCCGGGATCCTCCAGCCCGGGATCCTCCAGCCCGGGGCCGGCGCGGCCGCTCCCGGTCCCGGGGCCGGACACGGGAGCGGGTCCGAGCTGCCCCCCCGCACATCCCAGCGCTTCCCATCGCTCATCCCGCCATTCCCATCGCACATCCCGCCATTCCCATCGCACATCCCGCCATTCCCATCCCCTCTTGCCTGCAGGACCGGGGGGAGGCAGCGCTGTCGGGCCGGCGCTGAGCGCGGTTCTCCCGCCGCCTCCCTCCCCTCTCCATCCCTCCCGCCGCCTTCCTCCCCCACATCCTCCTCCTCCTCCTCCTTGTCCCCTCCCCATCTGTCCCGGCTCCCGGCGCTCCCCCCCCGGCGCTGCCCGCGGCAGCCGCCCCCGGCGGCGCAGGGCGGGGGAGCCTTTCCGCTCCTTCCCGCTCCTCTCCCTTCCTCCTCTCCCGGCAGTCCAGGGCAGGAGCCGGAGCCCGGCCCGGCCACCAGCGTTTCCCATTGGGATGGGGGCGGGAAGCGGGCACGGACACCCCCGGAGGGGCCCGGGAGCATCCCCAGGGATGCGGGGACGGGCAGGGACAGCCCGGGACAGCCTGGATAGCCCGGGACAGATGGGACAGCCCGGGACAGCCGAGATAGCCGGAACAGCCCGGGACAGCCTGGATAGCCCGGGACAGCCTGGATAGCCCGGAATAGCCGGGATAGCCCGGACAGCCGGGATAGCCAGAACAGCCCGGGACAGCCGGGATAGCCCATAACAGCCAGAATAGCCGGGACAGCCCGGGATAGCCGGGACAGCCCGGGATAGCCAGGACAGCCCAGGATAGCCCGGGATAGCCGGGACAGCCCAGGACAGCCCGGGATAGCCAGGACAGCCCAGGATAGCCCGGGACAGCCGGGGTTTCCAGCTGAGGGGAATTCCAAGCTCATGCCATGTCCGCCGTCTGATTAATCTCCTAAAACACACCCCAGGCTTTGATTTTTTTTTTCTTTTGTCTTTTTTTTGTTTGGTTGGGTTTGTTTTTTTTTTTTTTTTTTGGTTTTGGTTTTTTTTTTG